CTCTTGTCGTCGCTGCCGTAACCGCCACTCCCGCGGCCTCCGCCGAAGTTGCTGCCACCAAACCTTCCTCCCCCTCGTCCTCTGCCTCTTCCTCGACCATATCCATGGCCGATGCTTGCTGCCCCAGCGCCATCCGCACTCGCCAACTCACGGCGGCGGAAATCCTCTTGAAGGATAGCTCGCTTCACGTCTTCGAGCGAGAGGCGGGGCAAGTCGCGATTCAGGTTGATGATGAGCGAGGACCATGATTCGGGGAGTAGGGTCAGCAACTTGGTCTTCTTTTGGAGCTCACTATAGTTCAAATCAGCTCCCTCAAGCCGCGTCAACAAGTCGAAGAATTTATGCACCCCTTCTTCAACCGCTTCATCCTCTTCAATTCGTAACGTCGCCATTTGCCGTTCCAACACCACAGCTACTGCCGCTGTTGCAGGAGCGTGTACACCCTTGAGAGCAGCCCATGCTTTTGGTCCCTTCTCTGGTTCACGCTGGAAAGACTTGATGTGACGGATTTGGCTGCTCCCCAACGCTTGCCCAAGTAGGAGGTATCCTTGTGCGCTCTTCCGCACCCACGGGCTCTTCTCCGGGTCGTTCTCGGGATGCTTCTCCGTTCCTTCCATCACCTCAAGCAGGTCACAGTGGTCAAATATGTTCTCCATTCTGAAGGACCACTCAGCAAAGTTGTCACCATTGAACTTGTCAAGGCCAAACACTCTAGGCTCATCCCTAGATGGGCCAACACTTGGTTGCACGGGCGCCATGGCTGAGTCACGGGGTTGGCCTTGAGCTTGGGCTTCTCCTCTACCACCAGCACCTCTGCCACCCCTTTCCTCATGTCCAGCCATTGTCGAAACTGCTCCAAGGGGCTCTGATACCACTTGTTATAGTCACAGTAGGCTCCAATGTGCCTAAAACGAAAGACAGAGTGCACAGTCGGATTTCTGCACAGCGGCTTCAAACGTTCATATCGTTCTGGTCATAGCTTTAAATGACTTGTTTCAACTTGGATCTAGAGCGTCTTATTGTCGCCTACAATAGGCAATTTAGATTGCACGATTTGACCAAGTATTGACGACACAGCGTTGGTTTGAACGAACGGCACTATGGCAGCCACTATAGTCTTAGAACACAAGATAGGAAGAAGTTAGGAAGAGTTACGCGTTGGGAATGACTCCCAGCTCCTACAAACCCCAAGAGCCGAGGTACAGTGATGTGGAACAGTGCCACACTGTCCCCAACCACGAAGGGTCTCGAAACTACCCTTCACTAGGGCCTACACCAAGTGAAATGTTACACTACACAAAGTAATGTAACTATCTTCAATATCTTGAGGTGCACCCTTTTGGCGAGCTTCGAAATCACTCGAGGCCTGACACAAAGGCTCGGGCTCTTCGTCACAAACTCATCCTTGGGTTCTTGATGGGTCTTCTGCACACACCTGCGACCCACCGAACGTTCGACACAGGACAAAATAGAAACCGCGCGCGAGACACAAACGACCGCGTAACACGCGTCTAGCGATATCTCGCTATTGACTCGACACACACACTCGACATCATGACTCAACATTCACACACAATTATAAGCATGAAATATATATTATCCCATGCCCTCATACCATTCCATACACATACACATGCACGCACACGGACAACAAGCCGAGTGCAAACCGTAGGGTTGCACCAACAGGCAGCAGTTCAGCACGCGACTACATTTCAGTTCTTCGTACCACCCCAAAACCGACGGACAGACAGAAAGGACAAATCAGACCATGGAGCAACTCATCCGAGCCATGTGCGACGACCCAACCACCTGGGAACAGCAGCTGTCACTCATCGAGTTCGCGTACAACAACTGACCTTCCGCCACGACCCAACAGTCACCATTTTACCTGAATAATGGACAAGACCCAATATTACCCATGACCCCGAATCCCAACAACCCAGTTCCACGAGCGCAACAGTTTGCTGAAATTTTACAAGCAGCACGGACCCGGGCTGTAGACGCAATTAAAAAATCAGACATCACCGCTAAACGCAATGCCGACCGCCACCGCCGACCTGTCACTTACCAGCCCGACGACCTAGTCTTAGTCGACACCCAGAACCTCTGCCTACCCATTACTCCAAAACTCCGCCCTCGATATTGTGGGCCATTCCGCATCAGCCACCTGATCACACCCGTCACCGCCCATCTCCTCCTCCCAACTGATTGGTATGTCAGCCTGTCCTTCCACGTCAGCCTGCTCCGCCCCTACGTACCATCCACCAGCCAACTCCCTCGCAACCGCCCAGCCAGCATGACACGACCGCCGACCGAGCCAATCATCACGCCCGGAAAGATTTTGAGCCATCGAGTTCGTGACCCACAAGGAGCTCGAAGGATCCAATTCCTGATCCGCTGGAGAGACCGTACGCCCACCGAAGACAACTGGGTTCCCCTTGACAGAATCGACAACCATCCCGTCCTCACCGAGTATCTGCGCAGCCGAAATTTTCGGGATGTACACGCACTTTCGTAAAGGAGGGCCTCCTTAGGTGGGGGGGGGGGTAGTATAAGGAAAATTCCCTTTCCTTATTTCGCGCCCCTGCTTAGCGCGTACATCACTGTAGCACCATAGTCAGCACCGTTACCACTCGCAATCCTCGCATCGACAATCCTCCCACCACCTTCGCACGTCGCACCCTGACCTCACGGCTCGGCGGGTAACCAGCGCTTCGGTCCTCCACCTCGACATTTCCTGACCACAGTCCCAACCTCAGTTCCAGGCCCGTCGCGCGTCAACCATAGTTCATTACCGTTACCATTGTAGTTTCGCTATATATTCTTCGCCCAAAACCTTCAATCATTTGCACTCTGATAGTGCAACACTCGTTCGATCACTCAATTGCACTCGTAACAGTGAGCAGGAGAGTGTAGGCTCCTTTCTTCGCAAATGACACACTTATAGATTCTGTCTGATTGCGAACCTCACTTGTGGTTGCGATGCGATGCGAAGAAAAACGGTCCGTAATGGGGCGAGGGTTACGGTGTCCTCACGCGGGGCACGCCAGGAAAACGACAAACCCAGGGCTGGGCACTCGGCCGCTCATTCTTGCTGCGAGATCATGCGGCCGACCCTTGGGCTTAGGGCGTGTAAAATTGTAATGACCAAACGCTATGGTCGATCATTTGGGCGTTGCTGGCGAGTGCGAAATATGTAACACTTAAGCGAACCCCGCCACAAAGATCGTCAGCATTTGGAGCACCCACCCTGAACCACCCCCTTTGATTAAAAAGGAAATGTTTTGATTCCCTTACTACATTCGAAAGGGGTGTGGAATACGGGGGATCTGAAGCCTAGACTAGAGTGTTAACCAGAGCAGTGGGTTTAGGTAAACGGCAAAAAAGGTTCCACACTGAGCATCAGTTTAATCGTGTCCCAAATTGCGGTGCGTAAATCTCTGCTCCTAAATTACCATTGAATATCCGTCAGACCGGGGTGACTACTTCCATCGGCATAACCCTAATTCCTCGCAATCGCCAGAAGCGCCCAAATAAGCGACCATAACATTTGGTCGTTAGAAATTTCTTTGGGCTTGGTTGGGGGCCGAGCCAAGATCGCACGTGGCTCGGCCGAAAGCCGGCACAGCCCTGGCCCGGCTGACGTAGCTTTGCTGGGACCACCTGACCAATCCGACGACCAGGGTTGGGCCAGGCTGACGCAGCACACACCCGACTGGCTACCCGGCGTCGCAGCGAGTGTAGGACCCGTACCGATTTCTCCAAATCAATTCCTCGCAATCGCCAGAAACGCCCGAATAAGCGACCATAGCATTTGGTCGTTACTATTTTCTTTGGGCTTGGTTGGGGGCCGAGCCACGATTGCACGTGGCTTGGCCGAAAGCCGGCACAGCCCTGGCCCGGCTGACGCAGCTTTGCTGGGACCACCTGACCAATCCGACGACAAGGGTTGGGCCAGGCTGACGCAGCACGCACCCGACTGGTTACCCGGCGTCGCAGCGAGTGTAGGACCCGTACCGATTTCTCCAGGTCAATTTCCCGCGTTCGCGAAATCCGTTCCCTCCCGGCATGGTGCCCCTGCGAAAACCTGTCGGCCTGTTTGCAATTGCTTCACCCGTGCAGGCATAAAAAGCGTACTTCATGTGGAAGCTTGAGCTGTACACATGATGCTCACCCCATGCACGCGCAATTGGTCTGCACCAATTGGAAACTCTGCACTCGTGGGGGTTTTGCCCTGGGGCTGCACCCACGATACACGCACCTTTGGACTACTTGCCTGAGTTGCACAGATACAACCACAGATGTATTCTGACCAAAACACAAGACAGCCACACACTCTGCCACCAATTTTCTGGCCAGGGACAACGTCGCGAATGCGTTTGTGCGAAAACCACACATCCTCGCTTCCACATTCTCGCACTTCAACCTGACACATAAGCCGTGTCAACGTGCTCCAAACAAACCCAGGGGCATATTCATGGCCCCACGTGGAACCTGCACCTGCTTGATACAAACACATTCCCGTCCGCACGAAGAGCAGCAATCACATGTCACCTCGCATGGCTGTGGTTACCGGCTTCCATGTGGTGTCGAAGGTCGACCAGATGCGCTAGCGTGTTTGCACGGCCAAGCACAACATTCTCAAAGTGCCCTCATCCCGCCTCTTCCAGTGTCTCGCGAAAATGTAAAATAAGAGGCCACACCCCCCCCCGCACATTTCTCATTCGTCACCACATCCACGGCTCAACACCATGCCGTGCCTCTACCACCGCACACAGCTTGGCCTGCCAATTAAGCGCGCGATTTGCGAGCACCACGTCGCGAATCCGCACTTGCGCCATGTTGACCTCTGCCGGTGGTGTTTCACCAAGTTCGGCATCCGCCCCGACCGCAGCACGATCGGTCGTGTCCTGAAGGGCGCCGATCGTTGGGTCCGTCCTGATGCCGACGCCGACAACATTTGTGTCTGTGGTGGTGCATATCCGGTGCTCGAGCGCGCGATGGCCCGCTGGATCGCCAATGCGGGACCCGCGGATGTCCCGCTCACTCTAGCCACCATTCGTGACCATGTCGCGAATATGGCACAGGCAAACGGCGCTCCGCCAACGTTTCGCTACTCAATCGGCTAGGTTCGTCGCGCGCTGCGCCGTCAGAGCGTTCGCTGCATGAGCGCGGTCGGCAAGGCGGCCGACCAGGACATGAATGACGTGCGGACAACTAAGGAGAAGTTGCCACAGCTCCTGATGCACCTGTCCGTCACTCCGAGCGACACCTTCAACTTTGACGAGACCGCATTGTACATCTCCATTCTGCCAAGGAAAACCTATGGTAGCGTGCGCACGGGAACGTGCGGTTGGTTTATCTGCCGCCCAACACGACTTGTTTCACTCAGCCGCTCGACAACTAGCTAATCTCCATGGCGAAGGCATGGTACCCGCAGCATTGGCTCCGTGCCTTCACCCGCACGTGGACGGCCGAAGGTGCCACGGCTGCCGTCGCGCGCTTCAGGCCCAACATGCGGGCAGTGGTTGAGTGGTTGAATGACGTGTGGATGAACCTTCCCCCGCGTGCCATCCAGCGCTGCTGGTGGCGCACGGGATGCCTTCTGCTCGTTTTGGCACTCTCCTTAGACCACGTGGAAGCCGTCCCGCGCAACAACGGCAGCACGGTAGTCGATGGCGTGAATGGGATCGAGACCGGCCTCGATGAGGAGGTCAACGATGTTGGCCTCCTCATCGACCGGCTCTGCCTCGGTCCGAGCGCCATATCGGCCGAGGCGTTCGTGGGGATTGACGACAATCAGCCCACGTGCGCTGAGCCCAGCAAGAATCCACTTGAGCGGGAGCCGCTGCCACGCGATGCGGCAGTTATGTGGGAGGCGTCGGTGAACATGCAGCAGGTGTACGATGATAGCAACCCCGCCTCCTGCGAGGCTCGTCGTACTGCGCGCGCGGCGTGCGAGATGCTGATCGAGTACGTGCGGGGGACGTACATCTTGCCGCGTGTCCTGTGCGCCATTTTCGACATCCGAAACCCCATCATTGTTGCGCGCATGGAGCGCGCGAGCCCCGCCCTGTCAGAATGATGTAATTGTCTAGCCTGCAGTGGGGTACTCTATAGCGAGTACAACCCAACTAGGGTTTCGTATATGTATCTCAACTGCTGCTAGTGCAAACCCCTCTTTCTGCTTCTAAACTTTTCCTCGTAATTGTGACATGCTATCAGAGCATGTCCTTCCTCGGCCTGTGGGCCCACCAACCTGCTTCCGCTGCTACTCGATCTGTCGCACACCCCGTGGCGTGCGACGTATTTTTCATCCCGCCGCGCGCCTGCTCTCTGGCGTGCGCCCGGAGGCGTGCAGCCCCTTTTCTTCCCGGCGCGCCAGCCCCGCTGAACCTGCGCGCCCACCCCGTCGACCCTCACGTCGCCTCAAGGGACCCGCGCGCCACCCCCGTCGACCATCGCGTCGCCCCCGGGGACTCGCGCGCCACTTCTGGGGAGCCGCGCGTGGCCCCTCGCTGCCCCATGGTAGCGCCCTGGGGGCCATGTGCCACCCCTAGAGCCATGCGCGACCCCCCTTGCTGCCCCATGGTGGCGCCCTGGGGGCCGTGCGCCGTCCCCCTCGCCGTCCCCCGCGCTCCTGCCCCGTGCCACTCGTTTTAGGGTTTGGGGGTGGGGAGTGTGGGGGTGGCGGTTGTGGGGGTGCCGGTTGTGTGCGCCGTCCCCTACTCCTCCTCCTCCTCCATCTCCCGCTGCTGCAGCTGCCGCTCAGGGGGGTGGGTGTGTGGGAGCCGAAGGAGTGGTGCTAGGGGGGTGACGTGGGAGTGGAGCTAGGGATGCAGCAGGGGGTGTGTGCTAGGGGCGTGGGGCAGTTGGCGGAGGTTGAGCGGAGGTCGCAGTCGTGTCGCCAGCAGCACCAGTAGTCCGGAGGCTACAATCTCCAGTAGTCGCCAGTCGCCTGTGGGTCAGTTGCTCCAGTCAGGAGGCTACAATCTCCGCGGAGCCAATTACTCCTGTAGTCCGGGCCATTGCTTTGGTAGCCACTGAGCCAGCAGCTCTTGTGTGTATGCAGCTTTCGCCGTCGCCTCCCATCTCCTCTCCTCTCACAGTCCCTCCTCCTCATATGCCCTCTGTGACTACCTCTAGCTTTACTTGGGCTTGTGAACTATTTTATGACTGCTTTTTGTATTGATTACACCCCACTTTGGCTATGGGGGTGTGTCAGAATGATGTAATTGTCTAGCCTGCAATGGGGTACTCTATAGCGAGTACAACCCAACTAGGGTTTCCTATATGTATCTCAACTTCTACTAGTGCAAACCCCTCTTTCTGCTTCTAAACTTTTCCTCGTAATTATGACACGCCCTTGATCTCAACAACGCCCCTCCTCCCGCTGTGACTCACGCGGACACCCCCCCACCAGAGACCCCTCATCGCCGCGGCAGGGTGCTCCCGGCGTGGATGCACGTGCCCATCCCAGACTAGGTGGCTCAGACGGCTCGCCGCCAGGAGCTCATTGACGCCGGTGCTCCCGCCCTTATGAGCGGGTACCTGGCGGCAGCAGAGTGGATGCGGCTGTGAGGCGGGACTTTGCTCCCTTTGAGGCATGAATTTGCCTCATCGAATGTGTGTTGTGCACCCCTTGTGCACATATGCTATGCATTGTATCAATATTGAGGATATTTGTGGGGAGGGGGGGTTGGGTACAGGTGGTGCGTTGTTATTGGGTGGGTTTGACAATGTTATGTTTGTGACTGGTGGGAATGTGGAATGAAATGGATTGTGTTTGAGTTGGGCGAAAATCATGGTAACCCAGCATACGATAGCCCAACAGCGAACGCCGCCCCAGCAATGTTGGGGAAGGGACAAGCATGTTTCAACATGTGCAAGATATAGTGACGTCTTACCTGTGACGAACCTTAACGAAGTGGGCGAACTGCAAAAGCCAGTTATAAGCCCAAAGTACAAGGGGACCTTGGAGGACTAAAACGCGCATCAGGTGTAAGTAGTTGACCTGTTTTGAACGGTGCTACACCTAACCACCGCTATTTTCAAGGGGAAACCCAACCCACTAATCTCGCGTTTCAAAGTTACCCTGCACGTTTTCGACTATTTCAGTTCGACACTTAGATGACTGGGGCTATGAATGACGCCTAATGCTCGAAGTTAAAACTCATTATGCGAATCTGAATCCATAGCGCCACTTCTACAGTACTCTCTTCAGGGATCTGGAACAGACTCTTGCTAAAATTTAATGATGCCCCACAACCCTCGGTCAAAGATTTAGAAAGGGTGCATACCCCACTTGTGCAAGTGGGGTTGAAAATAGACCGAAAGAAAATAGCGGTGGTTAGGTGTACTCTGTTCAGCTCATTATTTCCTACAGTAGTCGTTCAAGATGGACGCTAGTGACCTTGTTCATTGAAGGGGGCGGCATGGTGGAAGGGTTTGAACGGATGTATTTTTGAGCTGGCGAGCAATACCATGCGCGGAGTGTCAAACATTATATATGTTGTTGTGCTTGTTTAGGCTACAGTGGGTTAGCCTATAGGGGGTACACAATTCTAGGGTTAGGTACTTGTACTGTTATCACTGCTAGTTCAATCATTCCTATTCGCTTATTCCAACATGGTATAGAGCAGGTCCTTCCTAGGACCGATTTTTTAGGGCCCACCACTACCTACCTACCTACCGGCGCCCTAGGGCGCCTCGGTTTTTCACGGCCCTCTAAGGCCCCGTCGGCCCGCCCCTTACGGCCCCGCGCTCGCCCCTAGAGGCCCCGAATGGCCCACGCGCTCGCCCCTAGCGGCCCCTTTCGGCCCCGCGATCGCCCCTACCGGCCCCGTCGGCCCCTCGCTTACCTCCCTAGAGGCCCCGTCGGCCCCGCGCTCACCTCTCTAGAGGCCCCGAACGGCCCCGTCGGCCCCACGCTCACCTCCCTAGAGGCCCCTTACGGCCCCGTCGGCCCCGCACTCGCCCCTTTACGGCCCCGCGCTCCTCCCTAGAGGCCCCGAACGGCCCCGTCGACCCCTAGAGGCCCCCTTTACGGCCCCGCGCTCACCTCCCTAGCGGCCCCGAACGGCCCCGTCGGCCCCTAGAGGCCCCTAGAGGCCCCGCGCTCACCTCCCTAAGGCCCCGAACGGCCCCATCGGCCCCGCGCCCGCCGTCCCTAGAGGCCCCGAACGGCCCCGCGCCCACCGCCCCTAGAGGCCCTGAGCGGCCCGTGACCGCCACAGCCCGGGACCGAACCGAGCCGCGCGACCGAACCGAGCCGCGCGACCCGAGCCGAGCCGCACGACCCGACCCGAGCCGCGCGAACCCAGCCGAGCCGCGCGACCCGACCCGAACCGAGCCGCCCCAACCGAGCCGCGCCGCCCTACCTGCACCGAGCCGCCCTAACTGCTTCTACTGCTACTACTGCTGCTACTTCTACTGCTCCTATGGCTAGCACACAGGTTCTAGTTTTCGATGCTGAGGGCCGCCCAGTAAAGTTTGACACCTGGCTAGATGACCTGCACCTCTATCTACAGCTCACAGCCAAGGACGACATCTCACTGTACGACCACGCCCTAGGCCATGTCACTGCCCCTGCTGCTACTGCTGACAGCACTGCTCGCTCACAGTGGCAGACTCGTGATGCCCATGCTCGCTTCGCTATTCGCAACTCCTTGCCGATAGACGAACGCGAGCACTTTGGCCAGCACAAGACTACATAGGCACTGTACACTGCTGTCGTTGCTCGCTACTCCTCACCTGCCTCTGCAGCGCTAGGCCGTCTCTCCCTCCCCTACCTGTTTCCCGACCTGGCCTCGTTCCACACAGTCGCTGACCTCATCACGCACCTCCGTACTAGTGAGGCCCGCTTCCGTGCCGCCATGCCCGCTGAGTTCCTTGCCACGCACCCCCCCCCACTCTGGCTCACTCTCTACCACCTAGTCACCCGCCTCCCTGACACACTGCGTGCTGTCAGGGACCACTTCCTAGCTCGCTGCCCCACTAAACTCACCATTGCCCTCCTCGAAAAGGAACTGCTTGCAGCTGAGACTAGCATAGTCGCTGTAGGTGCCTCTCGTGGCGACCCCCGTACCCCTTTCTTCGAGGGGTGTTCTCCTTCCCCCCTTCTTCCCTCTGTCGCCTCTGCTGCTGCTGTCGACCTCCTTGGTGCTGAGAAGGTTGGTACTGCGTCTGCTTCGAGCGGGCGCTGCAGCGGCAAGGGCAAAGGGGGCAAGGGTGGTGGCGGTGACAGCGGGGGAGGCGGTGGTGGGGGCGGTGGAGGCGGTGGGGGTGGTGGAGCGACTGGAGGGGCTAGTGGCAACGGTGGGGGTGGTGGAGGCAGCGGGGGGGAAAGGTGGCAGGGGTGGAGGCGGTGGTTGGGGTGGCGGTGGACGAGGCGGCGGCAGGGGTTGGGGTGGTCGAGGAGGTGGCGGCGGCAGTGGTGGTCGTGGAGGCGCTGGCGGTGGCCAGGGCCAGCAGCACACTCCGTCGCCCCAGGAGGTCCGTGAGTGGTACTCTCTGCACGGGGGGGGGGGGGGGGGGGGGGGTGGCCTTAGCTGCACGTACGTCATTCGCACTGGTGACCACACTGGTTAGCAGTGTGGACGACCGCACGCCACACAGCGCTGCTTCGCTCATCTCGACGACGCTTGGCGTGTTTAGTTCCCTCAAGCCACTAAGCTGCCCCGCTAAATTGATCTCCTGAAGAATGGGATTGATATCTATGCTCTAGACTTTGATGCTATTCTATCTGCTATGTATGTGATGTCTACTAGTGGAGAGGGTGCTGAGTACCTGTGTGTGCCGCCCGACCCGGGCATTAGGACTAGTGCGTCTGCCGCTCCAGGTACTCGCGTGTCGACTACCCCAGGTGCTGGTGAGGCAGCTGCTCTAGGTGCTTGTGCGTCTGCCCCCCTTGGTACTGAGTCGACTGCAGCACTAGACACCTTCACACTAGACTCAGGTGCTTCTCGCTGCTTCTTTCGTGACCGCACTGCCCTTGAGCCGCTTGCTCGGCCAGTTGCTGTCTCCCTTGCTGACCCCTCTAGGGGTCCGGTCATTGCGACCTCTTCCACTATCCTTCCCTGTCCT